GGAAGAGTCTCAATGGTGAAATTTTTTTGTCTCTAGGCATGGAAGTCGAGATCTTTATCGAGGTACAAAATGAAAAGTGGCAAAATTAGGAAAATAGGTTTCATATTCTGAAAATGGGTGGAAAAGTTAGATTGTTTCTACCAAACAAGTGCCATAGTGCACAAATGGACTAAAACCCTACGACCATATATAAATGCCTAAATGAAGAAGATTGATCAAAATTAATGCCTATTTTCATACAAGTCTCCYWAAGATCATACCTGAAAAGAAGTATAGACAATCACCCATCATGGAAAGATGAAGACAATGTATGATAGATTAGAAATCATGTGGTGAAGCCTTTGTCATTTTTCTGACTTACGATGTGATAAATTGGGACCTGATTTAAGTATATGGCAGTGAACAAAACCATTACTAAGAGAAGAAAGGAAAAGTGACATAAAATAAGCTCTAGCATTGATCCATAAGAGCAAAGGGATGTTTACCAAGAAACAKTCATCCAACTAGCTGGAGAAAGATCCACACTCTGAAGTGTAGTTAATTATGCAGTGAGATTGTTATACTGACAGTTTTTATTAGATACACATTCAAATATGAACCAATACAAGAATAACACACCCAACTTCAAAACAACTAAAATAACCCAACATTCGTAAATTGGAATTTACGGGAGTTTCTTTTCAACAACGGAAGAAAATAAGAAGAAACAGAAACGGGCAATGAAGGACGACGAAGATCCTCGTGTTACAATCAAAGAGCTTTATCAAATTCATAAAAACTATTATATTACTAGGTCACAATGAGTAGTATACTATATTACTAGGTCACAACTAGTATACTAAAACAAAAAGTAAAAAGTAAAAAATTTAAGCAGTATACGCATATTAAAGCATACCAAGGGTTYCGATAACCATTAMGCTCCACCCAAATATATTGCTCTCATCGACCAAACTGGCAGATAATCCATAAACGGGGTTCTAGTAGAGATCCGAAAGCCATGAAGGAGAAAAGACAGTTYAGAGGAACATCCAAACCAGATAAACCCTACGAGAAAAGTCGATTTACAAAAATTGGATAAAGAATCGAATGAATTAAACCTTTTAAGTTGCTTTTGAAGCGGGAGACTTGCTTGAGAAATAGCCATGGGAGGAAAGAAAAATCCTTCGATTTGGGGACAAGAGCCCTTCGGGCTACTTGATTGTGGAGGGAAGGAGAAGGAAGGAGTATAGAGAATCGCTGGACGAACAACGGAATGGCGTCTTACTCGTCAACAGAAGGATTCGGCCGAAGGGATTGGGAGCATCGCGTGTTCTAGAGAGAAAGAATGACACGGGTTTGCGGTGATGGTTCTGTCTCGCGTGGCAATGGCGGCGTGGAGGTCGAAATCGTGCAAGGGTGAATTGAAAATTAGGGATTTAGTGGGTTTTGAGAATTTTTTACAAAGGGGAAAGGATTTTAGATATTACAAAATAATTTTTAAATTCCAAAAAAATGAATTTAAAAGATGTTTTTAGTTAATTTTAAATTTTTCCTCTAGTTTTTCTCTGTGTTTTGAAATTTACATACTTCAAACAAAATTTCATTTTTTTCAAGATTTGTAATATAAGTATTCATTAAATCTTTTTGGATGGAAGGAAAAAAATCTATGAAAATTTTGGGTATTAAAATATATAGGTAAAATTAAAGAGTAAAAAAAAAAATTGCAATTACTTGGCCTTCAATAGTTAAATAATATTCTGAATGCAAAATTTCGAATAAATTTTAGTCTTTTAGACTTTTATGTTTTCTTAACTTAAATTCCAACAAATTAGCTTAAAATATCTATAAGTTAATTCCTTTATTTTTTTTTTCCAGTTTTCTAATTTACAAATTTAAAATTTGTATTTTATTTTTCTTAAAATTTGCAATATCAGATTGCAATCCGTGGTATTGAAAATGTAAGCATTAATTAAATCGTTTTGGATGGATGAAAAAAACAATGAAAAACTTAAATAATATTCTGAAACCAAAATTTTGAATAAATTTTAGGCTTCTAGACTTTTATGTTTTCTTAACTTACATTCCAACAAATTAGCTTAAAATAGTTAAATTCTTTATTTTTTTCTCCAGTTTTGTAATTTATAAATTTCAACAAAAAATTGCATTTTTATTTTTCTTAAGATTTGCAATATCAAATTGCAATTCATTGTATTGAAAATGTAAGCATTATTTAAATCTTTTTGGATTAATGAAAAAAAATCCATGGAAAACTGACTTTAACACGAAAAACAACTTTTAGTGACGTTTTATCAGATGTCACTAAAATACAGTTTTCCAACTTATAGTGACATATAAACAACGTCACGTAAAGCCATACCTTTTCACGAATAAGATTGGAATCTTCTTATCGTATCGTGACGATTATAAACCGTCACGAAAAATAATATTCCGTGACGTTTTATACGCGTTATGAAAAGCCGCCAATCCGAAGAACTCCGTCTTTTCCCGCCAAAAACGCGCCTCAATTTTTTTGTGACGTTTTTTAGACGTCACGAAAAATAAGTTCTGGCCAACTTATCGTGACGGATAAAATTCGTCACGAAAACACGACAATCCGGAACACTCCGTCATTTCCCGCCAAAAACGCGCCTCAAGGTTTTTGTCACGGAAAAAAAGCGTCACAAAAAGTCAAAAATCCGGAATTCTCCGCTTTTTCACTCCAAAAATGTGTTTTAACCTTTCGTGACGTATTTAGACAATCGTGAACAGTATTTTACTTTTCAGTACCGTCACGAAATCCAAAAATTCTAGTAGTGTATCGGTTAACCATAGACCCCCGGTTACTGGATCTAATCCTCCGCGAAAAGTAAGAAATTCCGCATATTTTGACCAATTCAAAGTGAAAAATGGGGTTGCTCCCTCAGCAAAACTAGGATAAAGTTGCGCCAAAAGATCCCRATTCAAGATAAATTCATGAGGAAGCTTGTGGATAAAGAATAGGGATTAGTACACGGATGAACTATTTAGAAATCATAATTACATGATTGTATAGAATTTACATTTTTGTAGTATATCCTTTTGTAATATTAAATAATTTTTAAAATCACAAATTAGTAAATTGAGAGGTTACAATTTAAATCTCTTAAAATTTTCTTTATTGTAGTTTTCAAAAGTAAAAAAAAATACCGAAACCACAAAAATCCCCAAAATCATCCATTTTCGAAAATTTTGAAACCCCTTCCTCCGACTCTTCTGCTTCTCTGTCTTACGTCTCCGCCGACCATCTCTGTTTTCCGTCTCCAACCTACCGTCTCTGCATTCCTTCGCCTCCGCCACCGTCTGCATACCTCCTTCTCCGGCTGCCTCGTTCTTCTTATCCCGCCGTCGTCTCTGTTATTCTTATTCAAAAACTCGTCGTTTCCGCCCGCTCCTTCGTCTCCGCTGCCGTCTCCATTATTCTTATTTAAAAGTGTAAAATTAGAAAAAAACAAAGAAATTCCAACAACAGAGATGGATGTCTTCAAGATCCACAGAAGAGATCTCCAACAAAACATATCCAGAGACAATCACCAAAAATCTAGTTTCAAAAATCACAATTAAGATTAACATTTAAGCAAAACCAAACTCAATTCAACAAAAGGGTTCTGGAATTACGCATTCAAAATTGTAATTGGAGGTTCACTGCCGTTGGAATTACAAACCCTATTCGTTTTCGGTAACGATTACTTAAATCAAACCAGCTCGGTTTGGATCAGTTTTTCGAGTCGGTTCGTTTTCTTTCGCTCCTAAAAAATACATCAAAACATATATTTGTGACAATTTTTTTCATCATCTAAAGTCGAAATTGTTGGAGTGATTCTTCATTGAATAAGAAATTAAGAAGAATAAATCAATGCATGATAAAGTAAGAATTCAACTATTCCTGTCATTCTCTAATCGTGTTCGAGATTAATTTCACACAATAATTTACACTATTTATGGGCAAATGTAGCTTAAATGTTGTTGAAAATGTATTCCAAAATAAATTAAACAAATGAGAGATGTAGGTTCATTTATATGTTCATGGTATTATCAAGGTATAAATATTATTTTGGTCATAGATATCGATGCAATATGACTGTTGAAGGAGGATATCCATCCGACGAAAATAATATGGTCAATAGAATACTGATTCGCTCCCAGCTCGAGAACACGTCTAGTCTTCTGCAAAATGCATGTTCCACTATATTGAGAAGATTACAATGGACCTTACTTCCTCTAAAACGCTCTCCATATGTTATTACACTAACCACCCAGCTTCTAAACACTACAAAAATGGATACTTAGAGATACAATATGAAAAAATCTCACAAGAATCATGAGAACGGGTTGCCGACGACGCTCTACAACCCAAAGAACTTCTGCAAACTATCGAAGTGTGCCTCCCTCGCAAGTTTTTTTTGCTTCTGTAAAATTGGTTACTTCAAAACCTCGTGTTGAGATAAAAAAAGATGAAGGGCAGTGGAAGAAACTTAATGAAGAAGTAAAACAAATTGTGGGCAATTTGTTTTCTAGGTCCATTAGCCTTCTCTTATTAGTTTGTCTCTACTATTCCCAATACTAATATAACCGAGATGCCCAAACCCTTACAAATAGGGTCACCCTTGACAGCTCAGACATAATATTAAAAGTTAAAAAACCTATCAGACACTTTTTTAAGGTTAAAGGATCTATCAAACACAACTTTCAGAACCAAGCTTCAAGTTTAACCTAAAAATATTTAAACAGCTGTTTGTGCTACTATGCAACAAATGAGAAACTAACATTAGAAACAATTTGCATCTATTCTAATCTAAGATTTAAATCATAAGATTTCTACATTAAAAAAATCATAATGAATTTACGAAACAGATATGCACAAGTACTAAAAACATAATCTATCCATAAATAATAACACTCATACACTTTCACAGGAGTGTGTACAAAACTACAAATATTATGTCTAGCACATCATTAGACTCACAGTGTTATCGTTAAACATACAATTTATCTCCAGAGTCTGGGCGTATACTTTAGGAAAAAAAAAGTAGTATACTTACAGTTTAGCTCAAATAAAAGCAGAATAAAGGCAGTGGACAGAACATGTTGAATCCACCAAGAGAGTTCTCATTCGATCTCATGCAATCTGAGCTCGAGCAACAACCACCATCAACATGACGACCAAGGAGAGAACGAATGCAGATTCGATTTTTTCATTTATATCATCTTTTTTCTCTGGTGTCAGTTTATCTTTCCCAGGAAAATGAAATGCATTGTTTAACAGTATCAGAAAGCTTTCAATTAGCTCCACAACTTTTTTTAGTGACATCTCCAAAATCCACCTTAAAATGATATTTCCAAAGTCAGGTCCCTGTTTGGAGCTCCCAGGGTATTCATTTACACCTGAGAGGGGAATGAAAATAGATATGTGTGTGTGATGAGAATCTAAGGAAATATAACTGATTAGATGAAACAAGAGAGCTATAAATTTGAAAAGTTAAAAAGGCAAATTAGAGATAACTCTAAATTGTTTTTTTCCCCTTCAGTGCAACAACACGTGGGAGTGAGAATTAAAACTCACGAAATTTTAGTCGGAAATAAGTTGAGCTATGCTCAAGTTGGCTTAAAGAGAAACCAAAAGGAAAAATTGCCCCCCTCCTTTGGACCTCTCCCCTAGATAAGATGAACTATGGAAAACGTGTGAAAAACGCCCAACACTGGCGCTACAGGAAAGAAAAGTGCCAGAAATGGAACCTTTCAAGGTTGAAAGACTTTGGAAGCATCAATTTACATGAGAAAATTCCATGAATAGTCCATTACCAAGGTCTAATATCATCCACATCTGTAAAGAGATCCTTTCCAGTTTCTTAGGGGGCTCAACCACTCTTGAAAAATCTTCCTCGTTAAAAAGTTTCTCCAATAGAGAAGGCTCACATCTTCCAAACATTGCCAAACCAAAAAAAAAGAATTTGCTGTTGCCAAAACAAAGAAAACAAAGGAAAGCCACATCCACTGGAATATCTTCCTAGAATTCAAATTTATTCCCTCCACCCGTCGGAATTTTGGATTTGTTCTATATTAATGACTTAAGCAAGTCTTCTCCACCAAAGATTAGTCTTCTAATAGAACACGAACAACTAAAAATATATTGAAATATAAAAGGTTGAACAACACAATAACCCCAAAGTAATTCAAGGTACTTGGACCCTCTTCTAATTTTCTTTTTTCGAGTACAATAAATTTAGACTATATAAGTTTTTGGTAACTATTTCTATTTATTTGATAAACGATCCTAAATTTTTTAATTAAAAAAAAAAACTAGTTTCTTGTTTCTAGTTTTTATTTCCAATTTTTAAAAATATAAATAAAAGAATTATTTTTTTCAATTTTGAGTTAAAGCATAATAAATATATATAAAAAAAGTAAATATACATAAATGATTTAAATATTTTATTTTAAAAATATAATTTCTATGTAAAAACATTTATATTTTTAATGCCTCTTTAACCCGGAATTTGGGCCAGTTTTCATCATTATTCCACCATTTGTCTAAAATAATTAGGAAATATGGGCTTCATATTCAGCCAGCAATAAATTTCGTTACCTCTATATCATAGTAACTAAATTCGTAAGAGTACAGTACAGTACAAACCTGAGGAAGGTAACTCCCGGAAGTTCTCCATAAACCCATTATTTACAGCAATAGCATTCCAAACAGCTTTGTCCATACACAGTGAAACTACCATACCCTAAATGTAACCAAGATCCTTCAGAGAAACTTGAAAGAAAAAATCAAACAATAAAGAAAGATGAGATGGTTGGTTTATATTCACAGTTTTTAATAATATTAAATTATCAACTTGAAAGTTCCTGTTATGTTAGTTTCAGTCATAAAGAATGGAGAAGATAAGGGTCTCCAGTTGTCCTATATATGCCCTACAAGAAGGATTAAAGACTTTTAAAGCAATTAAAGAGATGTAAAATAAATATTTATTATAATATTTTTTTAATGAAAAAACTTTTTGAATATGCGAGTGAGTGGGTTTATAAGAAGCCATTAGGAGTGGCTAGAAACAAAAGGAAATTGCTAAAAAGGCAATGAGAGAAGAAATTCTGGAAAGTTCCATTTAAAAAATTGATATTCTTTAACTTGTTCAGCCTTTTAGCTTTTCTAACAATCCAGGAGTGTGAAGGAGCTGTAATGAAATTGAGAAAGAGGTTATTAATATTTATGAGATTCCATCTTAAAATCAATTGACGGCAACGAGAGGAGTAGTTCATGTCTATTATAAACTTTTATTAGTCCCTTATCTTTTCAACGTGAGATCCTTAACATGTCTACTCAAGATTTTAAGATGAGAGGAGTAGTCCATGTCTATTATAAACCTTTATTAGATCTCTTATCTGGAATCCTTAACATAACTCGATAGCGCAATACTTAAAGAAGATATTACTTCTCCTAAAGAGTAATAGGTTTTAATGACACCCTATATTTTTAATGTAACATTCTAACAAAAAAAAATATAAATACAGCTAAAATGCTGTGAACAAGATGTCCACATATGTTTTTACATTGGTCTGTTTTATGCAGAAAATCAGGGGAAATTTGATCCTTTGCTTTTGTTTTATGATTATAGCAAGAATTTTTGGAATTTCTTTCAAGGAACTTCATGCTTTCTTGGTATTTAATCAACACATGAAGAATCATATGATTCAAATGCTGTGTGGCTATGGACTGAAAGGAAATGTTAGATTTCTTTTTTGTTTTTTTGTATTTTTCTCTTTTTGTGTAATTAATTTGTATTTGGACAACTTTTTGTAAAATTTGTTTGTGGGATTGTGGGGATGATATTTATTGTTCTTTTGTACATTGTAATTATATTTGAGGGGCCTTTTGTGAGAGTTTTTGGAAAGGGTTATGGGTGTTATTGGCAAGATAAAAACACAAAAAGGACTGATCTTTATTGTAATTTTGGGTAGCTTGGGGATGTCTAAAATTTTCCTTTCTTCCATGCTGATTATGTTGTTAGGTTTCACAATGAAAAGTTTTGTTTCCTCAATAAAAACTAACAAACTTATGGTGCTAAAGTAATTAATCTTCATTTAAGAGGCAAGATCATCCCTGGTTATGACATCATTGTGATAGGAATGGCCCTTAGGATAATAAAGGGATATTATTAGAGTATCGAGGGTACCTTAGTAATTAGATAGGAAAGTTGTTAGGGAGTGTTGTTATAAATAGAATGGAGGTGTAAGGATGAAGGTATCCAATTGAGTGAGTATGTTTTGGGCTTGAGTGATATCTCAAGAGGGGAGGGTCCAAGTACCTCTAATACTTGGTAGCTATTGTAGTTCGTTTATCATTTATCTTTCAATATATTTCGGGTTGTAACACATTGCACCTTGAAAGAAGGATCCGTCCGCAGCCATTGAAAAGCTTTATAAATCAATTGATAACCAACAGAATGCAAAATTCTTGAATCATTGAAGTTCATCACCGGCTGAAGCCATTTTGACATCGATATATTTGAAAAAACCTCCTGCAGGTAACTGGTTAAATTGCAACTACATGAGAATTTTTCATCGAGTCAATAAATTGAGACGTTATAATTTAATTCTGAAATTTGAAACGAAGAATGAGGTAAACCATCTTCTACCGGAAGATCCTCATGCCTACTAGGATTCTTTCTTTTATGAGCCATATAACATTCGTGAACAAAATCTATGAAATACAGAAATCCATATAGAAAAAAGATTTGAAAAATCACACAAAAACAAAAGAAGTCCCACAAACACATAAATATATTGGTTAAGAAACCGGATATCATTCAGCGGAAACATGTATATATGACCACAGATATTGATCAACAATATTTCGAGGGAGTAATAACAAAGGTATTTAGATTTAAGAGCACAAAACTATCTACAAAGGCCCTGTACAATCATAATTATTCATGTCACATCAACATCATTAAAATCATAAAAATTAATTTTAAAAAAAATGTTTAGTCAACTATCTGTTACCATAGCTAACAGAAAAGTAACAACAAAAACTAAACGAAAGTATTTCATAGAACTTGGGTATTAAATTATAATTTTTGAAAAGTCAGAGACTAAATAGATAGAGAGATAAAATTTGAGAGACTAAAAGTGTACTGCTTCTGCATTAGAAGTTCATAAAACTTGGACCATACTTCTCTACATTGCTCAATGGCCTACAAAAGTTGGAACTTTCTGATGAAGGAAATTGGCTTCTCCTCCTGCCTGCCCGGAAGATTGGCTCCTTGAGGCTTTACAAGGATGGTCCCCTTCAAAGGGAAAACCTAAAATTCTTTGGAGCTGCAATGTGAGAGCCCTTTTGTGGTGTTTATGGAAAGAAAGAAACTTTCTTATCTTCCAGAACACTTGTTGTCCTTTTGAGATTTTTTGTCATAGTGTAAAAATTACTACTTCTACTTGGTGTTTAATAAATCCCAGAAAATTGTTTTGTAACTACAGTCTATCGTCAATCAACCATACTTGAAAAGTTGTAATTCACTAAATCTTTTAGGGAAGGGGCTCTCTAATCCCCTGCCCTTAGGTTGTTTTGTTGGCTATATTTTCTAATTCCTATCAAAAAAACAAAAGTGTAATTTACCCTAAGGGAGAAGCGTGTCATCAGTTGGGGAGAGTGAGGAAACAAAAAGCTACTTTAGGAAAGTATGCTCCACAAACACAATAAATATATTATGGAACCTTCTTAAGATATCAAATAGTCATTGTAAGCTTATACCTAAAGGAATTGAACGGAATACTGTACCGAAAGAAAATAGACAGGACTTGGAAAGCCCTTGTGAAGAAGAGGTAAATGTTAAGTTAGTGAAGGAGATGTGTAATTTTAAGACACCACACCTGATTTATTTTATTTTATTATTATTTTTATATTCGTGAATGTCCAAACCAACTTACACGCATCTTGACTAATCTCACGGGACAACTACCTGACCCTACTACATTTGGTTGCCAAGAAAACTCGTAGGATATTAAATCCTAGTAGGTGGCTACTATGGTTTGAACTCATTCATTCTAACCCATTTACTATATACATTGGCTCTTATAGACCAACCCATGATGTTCACACATGAATTGTTTCATGGGGAATTCTTTAAAAAATTATTGGAACATCTCGAAGACAATTGAAAAATATTCTGGATCATATTAATATTCCCCTTGTTATTCTAGAGAGAGTAAATAGGTATAGTGAAGAGCTTTTGTCCTACAAGTCTGACTACGAGTGTCCAGATTGAAGATAACAATATACATAAAAAATAATAATAATAATAATAATAGAGTTTATGAATAGTAGACAGATCAATGATCCAAAATGAGGCAGTGGATGAGAGAAGGTTGAACAAAGGGGAATGGATATTCAAAATTATTTACAGAAAGCTTATAATCTTTGGACTTTTTATTAAATTAGATGGATGATAGGATGAATCAAAATAACCAAGTTCATGATTACTTGACGCCTATGACAAGGAAACACTTTGTCCGCCTCTGGGGAGGTTTGTGTTAACACCGTGAACCAGCCCTCTCTATCATTTCCAAATTTACAAGAGATAACAGTTCCTTGGTGGAGAAATCTCCACAGCTATTTGAAAGCCAAAGCAAAGTGGAAACTTTAACCCAATTAATTGACTGGGACTGCCTCCTTCATAACCTTATAGTCGAGTTCTCATACTCTTTTGTAGCTCTAATACAATTTTTTTTGGCATTCTGACATAAAATATCAAGATTCTGAATCCAATGAAATCACTAATTTATTTTTCACTACAGATTTAATGCTTATGAATCCAATATCTGGCCCACCAATTATATCATTTTTATGGAGTTGAAGACAATGGAAACGTGAGAACCCCAACAATGAGAATGGGCCGATTGCACTAGAAGGCCATACACAACATTAGTCACCGCATCCATTAACTTGCAGAACATACTGATGTTATTGTGAAAGGTAATTAATAGGATTATTATTAGGATAGAATTGGGGATATTATTAGGGTATCAAGGCTATACTAGTAGTTGGGTTAGGGGGTTTGGTTATAAATAGAGGGAGGAAGAAAGGATGAAGGTAGGCAATTAGTTAGTATGGTTTAGGCTTGAACAAGAAAGGTCCAAGTATCTCGAATTACTTGGGAGTTATTGTAGTTCTTCTATCTTTTATATTTCAATATATTTTTAGTTGTTCGGGTTCTATCAATTGTTTGAAGTCGAGTACTTGAAGCAATTGATCTAGTGGTGAATTTGGGAACAAAAATTTCTAGAGAAGTGTTTGAGTAAGAACATGCTGTTGCTTTGAACATTACGTCAGTACTACAGGTCTTCCTATATACTCTAAGGAGCTATTATAGATGAAATAGGCAAAATTGCAATGAATTACATACCAAGGATAAAGATAGGGATGACATTTTAAACGTAAACGCAAGACAATGCTTGAACACAGACTTCTTCTCAACATTTCCAGTTGACCAGTTGTATAGACAACTCTAATATCATCTTAAAGTTGAGTTGAGAGGCATGATAAACAACTAAGTTGGACTTGTAGCCAATTAGATGTCCTTAGTTTTCACATTCTCCTTCATTTTCTTAATCTTACAAACATCCAGAAATGGAGAATTGTCCAAGAATATTATTTATTTATTTATTTATTATTATTATTAATTTTTTGATAACAGAGAGTCGGAGCTTTGCTCCCCTATATCCAAGGACACCTGTGCCGCCCCAATGCCTGAATATGAGAGACATCAAGGATTTTTGGTATTAAGCTCACTAGAAGGTTCGAATTTGATACATCTAAGCCGGTATAACCAAGAAACCTCAAGCCCTTCCCAACCGGAGAATTGTCCAAAATTTTGAAAGGCGAATATTGAAACTCTCAGACAAATCTCAACATCAGTATCTGTTGAGAGGCATGATAAAGGGGGATGGGAGGTAGAATAACAGAGGAAGACTCTTTGATTTCAAGGGGCATGGGCGGATCCAAGAAGAGAATGGGCAATCATCCATTTTGTCATAAATTCAAAAAATATATATATAATATTTAAATATTTAAGATTTTACACATTTTTCAATAGCTTCTCCTATTTATTTATAATTTTTTATACCCATGAGTGCCTAGATTAGCTTGGTCACATCTTGACTGATCTCACAATACAGTTGTCAAAGAAATTGGAAGATATTAGTCCTACGTAAGACATCACCACCTTAATTTGAACTCATTTCCTAACCCTTTGGTTCTCACTAGACCAACTCTTAGTAGTTAATTTGGCCCTTGATATTTTTAAATCCGAAACTATACAAGTAAAATGTTAGAAGGTAAAATTTTACCCGATTTCTCACTCCGCCTCTGCCAAGAGGACATAGAGAGGAGTAAATAACTTAAAAGTCTTCCATCTTGCTTTAGATTAGCTAAGGGAGACAAGTGGCAAGAAAAGATTTCTAGTCCTCCTATACTCATAAATCCTTGAGCAATAATGATACACAGTTCACACAGCAGACAGAAGGGAGAAAAAAAAAAGGAATATCCGGAAATTTGTTGTCTTCAATCTCAAGCCCAGAATCGAAAAATGAAGAACAGATAACCAAAAGTACAGAATCAAATTAACGGAAAGTCACCTCTGGAGAGCAGTTACTGCAGCGTCGACTTCGACAGGAGATGGAACTGGCCCTAAATCAAATTTGCGAGGAGATTTCGCAGCTGCTTTATCTTTTTTCTGGATTTCACTTCCACAGCGTAAGCTCTTGCAAGTATTGCCACCGCAGCTGCAGTTGGATGCCATCGCAGAAGAAGAAGAAGAAACAAGTGTCGTCGGAGTGAAAATCTGTATGCAATCTGCAGAATTGTCCCCAATTCGATACCGCGTACGGATTTTGGGAACATGTGAATGTTATCCGTACATGAGAATAATATTTTTATTTTCCTCCAAACTATGATTTCAAACACTACGCCCTACAAGATTCCATTCCATCACTAACATTATTCCTTTTCTTTTCTTCTTCCTTTTTTTTTTTTTAATGCATCACATTCTAAATTTTCTTTGCAGAGCATTGCAATTTTTACCCAAAGAGGAATCCTTCCAGTAGTCTCGGCCATTTGTCCCACTTCCCTCCACATTTCATCAAAGTGTTGCAATATTTACTTTATAAACTGGAAAACAAAATTTGTAATTTTACCATTGGATACGTCTTCGTTCGTATAATTGGGTCATTTCATGAATTCCCAAATATATGTTTGGTGATTGGATTTAAAAAGGGAAATCCTGAGTAGTGACTACAAGATAAGATAAGCTAATGAAATGGTCAAAGGTTTTGTAATTTTAAAAAATGGCTAACATCCTTTTTTTCGAAAATTATGCAGAGGTAGATTTTTCGTATTTACCCCTCCAATACAAGTCCGTCATTTGTCAATTTTTATCTGATCAAGGGTCGGGGCACAAGGGTCCTGGTACTATCTAGGTGCGAAGAACCCCGGGGGTGACTGCAATGAGCAGAAATCTCACTCACCGGCCTAAACGACGAGCAAACACTCAAACGTGAGAGCAAGGGATCACCCAAGGAATGGACGAGCTTAAAGGAGGGAGGCAAGAACCATGCTTTCAGAGAAGTGGCAGTCCGAATCTTATCTGAATTGCGAGAATAACTGACTAAGTCATGTCTGCCCTTTATACATTATTAGTGAATCACAAATTTTGGTTTAACGTCAAATTAGTATCCCTAAAATCAAGCTAACTTGAATTATGTTTCAAACTAATTAAAAATCAAATCATTCTCTCTCTATCCTACCTAAACCGAACCGAAGTTGTAGCTATTTTGAATCATGTTTCAAACTAATTAAAAATCAAATCTTCTCTCTCTAGCATAAATCAAAATTTTAGAAACTAGATTTAGATCATGTTTCAAAATTAAATTAATCTCTCTCTACCCAATTAGGATTTAACTCATTTCAGCAACTTTATTTTCCGTCATCCTGCCTCTCTAATCTTCTATTTCATTGCATGGGTCCTCTCGCTAATCTTCATCGTGCATCAATCTTGTTTTCCATGGAAATTCCTCTAGAATGAGTTAAATCCTAATCGACGCTGAGTAAGGTGATTTTGGTTTTACATGGAGTTACAAAGTGCCACATGAGAGTGAATCTGATGGCGATGAGTGAGAATGAGCTGATGAAGGATAACATCGGGCGTGGATCAGTCCTTCCAACCACAACGTAATGCCAATAAATGATAGCGTTGGCCACCATGTAGAAGACGAAGTGTGTACCAATGATCTCCAATTTCTAGGCTATGCGTAGTCCACTCTTTTTTTTAAAAGAAAATATACTTATGACATTCTTCTATGGCTATTTTTTGCTGTGAAAATGCAAATTTCATAGAACAATTTAGCAATTTTAGTGGTGTGGGCCCTACTTTTGCCGAATTACATGGTCAGTAACTTTGTGCATATATACCCCGTAGATAACTCCACATACAGAAAAAGTGAGTGTAAATGGTTATTGTTTAGCAATTGGAGTGGTGTGGGCTCTAGTTTTGTCGAATTACATGGTCAGTAACTTTGTGCGTACATACCTCGTAGATAGTCCATATACAGCGGAAGTGAAGTGTGAATGACTATTTTTGGTCTTCAAAATGCAAATTTCAGAGGACATTTTAGCAATCGGAGTGGTGTGAGCCCTACTTTTATCAAATTACATGATCAGTAACTTTGTACATACAAACCTCGTAGATAGATCCACATACAAAGGAAGTTAAAGTATGAATGTCACTCAAGTCATGCAGACGCACATTCGCAAACTCTAAAGAGACTCTGCAATAGAGAGCACACACACATTCTAGATGCACTAGCATATGTGTTCTTCAAAAAAATGGAAAAAGCATAAGAGAGTGACAACCATTGTAAACTCAACGAGATGAAGGGAGAAGACTTTACACTCATTAAGTGGGTCACCTAAACAATCGTATGCTCTCATCCCGTCTTTGCAGTCAGGCTGATCGAGAAAAATTCAGGTATCACATGTTTCTCTATTTACTTTGTCTTTATTCTGTCTATGCGCGTATTTACCCCATATATGTCTCCCAATGTAGCTACCTATCCATAGTTTAAAACCAATATTTGATTTTTCAATCATATTTTTTCTACTCGTTTTTTACTTTTCTGCATTGATTTTACGTTTTGTTAGATTATTTTTCATATTCTTGTGTATCTTAATCTTTTTTTTTTTAATTTCAAAGTATTCATTTAACAAATTTTATTTTTGAAAATTTGAAATTTCTAAATTTAGATTTTAGTTTTGAAATTTCGAACTTCAAAATTCACTAATATTTCCTAAGATCAGTTGTAGCAAAAGGTTGTTTCAAGGGTATTTTTGCCAAAAAATTTTAGGGGTAATCATAGGATAATTTTAGCTATTTTGGTGGGAGGGTATATTTGTCCACATCAAATTCTAGCATTGAACTATAACTACTTTGTAGCCATTTTTATGATATTGGATACTTTTGGCTGACACTATTTAATATAGTAATTCCTCTAGTTGCCCCATTAATGATATTGATTTGGTTTTTGGGTCTTTATTTTTATATCAGTTTTTGGGTTGAAATTTGTGAGGTTGGCAAATTTGTTCTAAAGTTTTACTTTTATTGAAATAATTTAACTTTTAAAGATTTCTATATATTATTATTATTATTATTATTATTAATGATTGAATTAGTGAAATTTTAAGAGAATGTATAAATCGCAACATTTATTTGAGTCTAGGATCTAATACGATGAAAGTGAAAATTTACTATAAGAATTATAATTCTTGTCCAGTTTAAGAAAAGAATACAATATTATTTATATTCCATATTTTTATTATAGGAAAATTACAGTAACAAAAAAATTTTATGTATTTCAAAATATATCACTTGTTTTTAAAATTTTAAATATAGCAAAAATTTTTACTTATATCAGTAGTATATCAGACACTCATATCAGTAGTATATTAGATGTATATCACATACATATTGCACAGATACATATATCAGTAGTATATCACATACATATTATAAGTATATATCAGACAATCATATCGGTACTATATCACATACATATTATAAGTATATATCAGACAATCATATCAGTAGTATATCATATGTATTTCACATACATATATCAGTAGTCAGATATATTATAGATATATTACAGACGTATACCATTTGGGTAAAGTTGTCATTTTGAAATTGGACCTCCATCTTATTTTTTTTAAAGTGCTATATTTGAAAAAACTAAATATGGTTGCTACTTTGCTAATTTTACTAAATGTTTTTGATATATTTGCAACTGTTAATTTATTATATTGTAAAAGTATAATGAAATATTAACAAATATTAACAAATTATTATCAATGTCATGAATACTAATATACAAACTTTTTTGGAAAATTAGCGTTTTAAGCATGACCCAGTAGATTTTTACTTTTAGAAAACATAAATTTTCTACGCGTGTTTCATGTATTGTAAATGTCAAATTACTTCATTTATCCCTCCAGTGACTTTATGCCCTAACCTAATTTCCTTCCATATATTTTTCTATTTTTTCCTTCATCTTCTCCCTTGGACTCTTTCCCTATTTCTCTCTTTTTTCTCTCAAACCCACAAAATATTTTCCTTCTTCATTTGTCATTAAACTCTATGGATTTGCTGTTATGATGTCGTGTATTGTTCCGATCTATCTCGATGTGTTGTTCTATTTCTTGAATTTGAATTGGCCTTCGTTGGGTTATCTATTTGTTCGATTTTTTTCATTATATAAATTATGTAATAGAGACATTTCATTCAAAATTGGTTCAAACGCACTGAACTCCAGTGAATAAAGTTGTTTTCGATGATTCCTCTGTCGCTTTTTAGTCTTTGGTTTAAGAAATGGTCACTCTCCCTGATCAAGCACTCATTTTTCATAAAGGGAAATATAAAATGTCAGATACAGGAGCATTGCTTAGATTTGTTGTACCTAGCCCACCCCGTCTCACAGAAACCCTTCTACGTGGAGCTATAATCTCAACAACCACAACATAGGTCAACTTAGTCTATCGTCACAACCATCAAACTTAATTATAACATATTGTTCATCACAATACAACATAATCATGTCCATTATTTATGCATATTACACATTTTTTTAATAAAAAAATATTGTTAAAATAAAAGACATATCTAGTGACATACTACTGCTTACAATGTAAGCAAGTCTACAAGACCATTAACTTAACTCTGATACCAATTGTAACGACCTGATTTTTTTTAGACTTAAGCTGCCTAGGAATGTTATTCAACATTTTAAAGAGCGTTTAGAAAAATAAATAAATAAATAAACAAAACAAATACACTCTCAACTTTGTAAAATAAAAGTTAAATAGTTTTATTCAGGATCTCATATAAATTTTTACAAAAAACATAATATTAAAATAAATAACTCTTAATATAATAAAAAGAAAACGTGAAACTAATGTGGAAGCGCAAATCCATTTGAGTTGTATACATGTTCATCACTCGCCTTGTACGACTTTAATTATTTCCTAACAAAAAAAACAAGAGGAAATAGGTGAGTATTAAAAATACTCAGTAAGTAACTCAACTAATGGGGTCAGACACAGGGGCGGCTCAAGATCATACGGGGCCTAGGCAAAATTTTGATATGGAGGTCTGTTGGAATTAATTTAATAATTAATTCATATGTGGGTGTGATCTTGATTATGGGCCTATGAATTCCCGAACCAACCCATTAATCTTAGTGGATTATGGGAAACCCTAAGATTAACCTATAAATATATGATTATGGTCTCCAATACACTATGTTTCTTGAGCCTCCTGTTCCCCATCAAACAGAGAGTATTACTCATATTTGGTATGGGTTGCATAGTTGAGGAAGACCATAAACCACAACTTCTTGCAGATCATGGTCAATCTATCTATGGTTTCAGGTAATTCTAATCTCTTTATAGATTTTAGTT